GCTTTTGCTAAGCAATGGGAAAAGACATTCCCTGTTTTCACCAGAATTAATATTGATACCCAGAACATGAAGTGTAAATGTGACATTGGTTGGATGTGGTGCTCTGATGAGATTGCATTACAGAGGGACAGATGGGAAAGGCCCTGCACTGGGTGGAGCACCTTGTTCTCTTGAGCTAATTATGAGAGCTACAGCAAACAGAAATTAGAGATGCCAGCCTGAAAGGTTTGGCATTAGGTAATCTGAGTGTTCCTTAACTGCTTTAGGGTATGAAGTACAAAAGGCTAAATTATGCCATTTGGATTCTAAACCTGCCCACAGCCACATTTGCATATATGCACGTTTTAATTTTCCTTGTTCAATAACGCACCGGAAAGGGTGCCTTAAAAAGCACGTTCCTTCTTATTGGTTCCACGTGGAGTGGCATCTTTGGGATGTGGCATCGTTCCGTGGCTTCTTCCACCCAGCTGTGCTAGTGACTGCAGCTGGAAAGCTGGAACTATAGTTTTGCTTAATTATTTTTTAGGAAGCTAGAACTAAAGGGCAGGTTGTTAAGACTTCCTCTTACCTAATATGCGACAAGGTGACCTTGAGCAGGACTGGGACTTAGTCTGCTTTTTATGGGAGATTTATGAAGGAGAGTCAAGTATCAGAAAACATGCTTTATTTTTTTTTTTGTACACCAGAATTTTGTTTGCTTACCTTATCTCTGTGTATTAAAGGGAGAAAACATGGATTATTTTCCTTTACCTCAGGAGGAAACCGCACTATGAGAATTCCCCCCTGTAATTTTCTACTGAAGTGGATAATATACAACCAAAAATTATTCTGCGTTTGAAGTATAGCTAATAAAATAGTTTGACTGACTCCTAGCAGTGAAGCAATACAGAAGTTACATTTCTTTTCATGATCTTTTTACTTTATATTAGAAATCCAGCAGAAATGTCCACTGCAAGGTGTTTTTTCTGGTTTCAGTTTGCCATTGTCAGTTAATGCCTGTCACTTCACTTGCTGTGCATGAGCAAATGAAATCTAGCATAGTTGATAGACTCTTTTGCTTATGGATCAAATGTTCTATGATTTATTTTTTTTCCTGATGCTTTGTAAGGTTTATAGTTTAACCTGCGAATGTTGTAGAGCAAGTGATCAAGAATCTCTTCTTTATGTCCAAAAATAATGTTAGAAAATATTTTGCCATGGAAAAATGCCACTCCAGTGAGGGAAAGGATTCTCCACTTGAGTAGCTCAGACAATAAAGATAGCTACCCTGTTGCAGTGACTGAAAATGTTTCTCATTTTAAGTGTTCTTTCAAACAGTCAAAAGCTGTTTTTTAAAATTGGCAAGTACCAGGTGATACAGCTTAAGGGCTACAAGTAATAACCTGTTCATAGGAGCAGTGGTAAGTACCTGTAAGTTTAGATAGATGCATTAATGTACATTAAAGCAAACCGAACAAGCAGAACTCCTACATGCCCCAAAGCCTTCAAACTCTCACTATTTTTGTTGCAATCAAATACTTAAGAATGACCACAAAATAAAGCAATATTCCTGCTTTCCTTAAACATCAGTTATGCTTGCTTGTATTCCACAGTTCTGGTTAAAAGAGCTACCATCCATTAGAGGGATCTCTTGATAAGAAGTATCCTGTGAAATGCACAACCTCTCACGTCATGCCAAAACAGGTCTGTGGCTTTGGCATGTGTTTATTATTATTAATGCTGGCAGTTGAAATACAAATCATCTTAGACTGAACATTTGTACATAAATTCAGTGTCTTACTGTTGAGAAGCACAAGTGAGCATTAGACTCCTTTATTTTTCTCTCTAAATTGGTAGGTTTGGTAGCTGTCTTTCTTTTCAAGTACCCTTTGTGCACTTTTAGTCCAGGTTGTACCATTACCTTTTTGCATACCAGCAGCAATCCGTTCAGTACCTGTTGTCTCCTAAAAGGGCTCTCCTGCTGCCACTCTCCCTGGAATGTTTTAAAGCTTCAGTTTTTTTGTCCTTCTCCTTTAAAAGCTCTAGGAAGCCAAATAGGAGATGACTTAAACTTTCCACAAGCACAGACAGTCTATACACAGTGTTGGACAAGATCTGGCTTTTCAGTAATCATCTTGAGTTGATTTTTGCAAGTCATTTTGCCTATCTATGATTTTGTTTCACTTTCCACCTCGTGTACCTTTCAACTCTGAGACCTTTTGCGTAGGGATTTGCACGTGTGCACATTTACTGCCTAGAAAAACAGACTAACCTTATTTACTTTTTGCTTTAATGTATTATTTATTTCATCATCTGTGTCTAGGTTATTATTGGTGTCAAGAGTCCTGCATATGGTTCTTTCAATGTCTTTTCTTGTGCTCATGAAGGGCACCTCATTCAAGCTGTAGTACTTGCATAACAGTGATTTTCGTGCAGAAAAAATGTTTTGAAGCTTGAGTGACTGATGGGTTCACAAGTTGAGAATAGGGGTAATCAGGTACTCAGGCTACAAACCACTTTTCACTTTTGGAGCTGATAAAAAGTTTTTTGTCCGTTCCTATGGGAAGATGGCTGTGACACAGTGATTCGTGTATCCAGTGTCCTGCAACCCTGCTTGGGAGTGGGCAGCTGCAGTATTTAGGAAGAAAAAACTCCAAGAGCAGCCTGACATCTAAACAGTTCTTGCCACAGAGACACTTCAGTGGGTGCCCCCCTTACTATATTGGCATGTGTTCAAAATCTATTTGTAAAAGTTGAAGTTTGCCATCCATGGCACAGGGCTGAGCTGCCTGGGAAAGAATCTTTATGCTTGGTGTTGATTTTTTTTTTTTATGATTTCCAAACTAAAGTCTAAACTTCTGGATTTAAACTTTCCTCTTGAGAGAGGAGTCTCTCCTTTATTTTAGGATGATGATAACTTCTTATTTTGAAATGAAAGGCAGAGCTGTTTTTTGTCCTAGCCTTTCCTTTGCAAAAAACTTCCAAAAAAAACCCAACAGCAACGAAGGGGAGAGTGATTTCTCACACAAAAGTGCACAAATCCCCATCATTCCAGCAACTGTCTGGGGAGCAGGGTGAATTGTGCTCTGATGTGGAATCCCTTCTGCTGTTAGTTCATTTTTGAGCGACGCTTTGACACTGTAATTTAGGGTTGCAAATTGGAGCTGCAACACCCTGCTATTGGGCCAAGGGATGAAGCAGCACAATCACTGCTCGCTTGATCTTAACATTCTTTCTTTAATGTGTATGTAAAAGATACCAGGAGCCTTTCCAGGCATCTGTCAGGGTGTTTGATGCTGTTAGAGAGGGAACTTCAGTCTGTGTGTGGTTAGTGTACGTGTGGGTAAGTTTTACCAGTATTTTTTACAGTGATAACTACAGGGCAAAGTTTTACGTTTTTTAACAGTTGAGTTTTGTTTATTATTAGCAGCTTATAAAAATACTCATTAAACTCATGGATTATTAGTGAGAATACAGTTCTTACACTCTTGTCACAGGCGTTTCAGAGGTAATTGGTCTTGACCTGTATGTCGTCTTTAATATTTCATTTGCTCCAGAGTATTATTACTCACATCCTTTAAGATGATGGTTGGGCTTTTTATGCAGCTAAACTTCTGTTTAACCTTGCTGTGAGGCTGTGACAGTAGGCTAGTTCAGACAGGTTAACATTCATTTGGTAACCAGCCTGCTTCAACCTGCAGCAAATTAAATCTTTGTGAGTTCTAGCAGACAAGTGATAAAGTCATTCTGAATTATGTATAAAAATAAATGGGATACTTCTAGTGCTCATGGCAGTAAATGAAAGTTAAGGCTTATGATTTATTCTTGGGCTTTTGTTAAGGATGATTGAAATTTATTTTACCTTAATGTTTTTACAGTCTAATAAGGACGATGCTGTATTTCTGAAACATTCTGTGCCCTGCAAAAATAGTAGTAGTTTTAACAGGATTTAGAAGATCTTTTTTCTGCCCTCTTTGTGTTTCTTCTGAAGGAACAGTGTTTTAAACATAAAGCCAGAACTACCTTTCTCAATGTCACCAAGAATTAGACACCATCAAATGTTTTGTTGTTGCCAAAATCCATCAACTATCTGTATTTATGAGCTATTAATGTTGTCAATTTAGTCCATGTGTTATCAAAACAGCATTTAGGTGCTTTTGAAGATTCCGCTTGTGGTCATGAACCTCGCTTGACCAGGACTGATGATGCACTTCCCAGAAGAGGACAGGAGGCTGGGTGTATGCTTAGTATAGTTGTATGTTTGCAGACATCTAAAAATTTTGTTTTTCAAATGATGCTGTGAGTTTTTTTCCATTTCTGCCTCGGTAGTTTTAAAAAATTGAGTTGTAAGCATAGAGCAACAGTCAGAAGTACTGGTTTTGTTGGCACTGGCTAGTGAACATCTATCCTCTCTTTGCTGACTGCAATTTCACCAGCATTGCTGGGTTTGTGTGTGTCCTGGTTCATAAGAGAAACATGGCTTGTGCCTTTGCCATTAATAATGACCAAGATGCAGTTGAAATGTGGTTTTTAAGTGGCCACTGTGATTGTGTCCTTAAGAACACCTGGCAATAAACTGCTCTTTCAAGGTTTTTGTTTCACAATGACATCTCTTTTAATTAGTTGTGTAAGTACCTAACATCTTCACCTTACATGTGCTTATTGATTGGGAAGGAAAAAAATTCTATTTCCTTCATCAAGGCATAGCACTGTGAAAGTTATTGTGTAGAAATAAGGGTTTAAACTTCAGTACTGATTTAGGAGCTAATAACAATTCGAGACAGTTTTGAGTTGAGTTTGTTTTGACACCCTGTGCATCCACACCTGTAACCCCAATGTTGTTACTTTTAATATTTTTACATAAGGAATAGTTTTCGTCTTACAGGTTTATTTCTTTGTGTTTGCATAATTAATTCAGCCTGCTGAAGTGCAGCCTTCACTTTAAATCTCAAAACACCCTTAAAAACCTGACCCTCAGTTGAGACTGTGTCTTTAATAAATGCTTGTTGCTTTGTTTGTAGATGACTCTGGCTGTATCAGGACTGGCTTTTCCTTGCCATCGACTTACAGTTGGGAGAAGGTCTTCACCTGTGCAAACGAGGGAACAGTCAGAGGAGGTAAGAACATCATCTTTATTTAACAGGTTTGCTCTAGCAGGGAAGGCTCTTTTTGTCATGGTCACCGTCCCATCTAGCGTCAAATACATAAGTAGAATTGCATCTTAAAAGAATCAGTTTACAATTCCTGTCACATGTAATTGTGATAAAGTAAGGAAGTGGGTAAATGAGTCATTCGAGAAAAAGAGGAAAAGCAAAGCAAGCAATCCACAAGTTTCTAAGCATTGAAAAATAATCAAAATTAGTCAGAAGGCTGAAACATTTATTTTTTGTATTAGCAGAAAGATGTGTTTGCAGACTTCTATCAACTCTCATTTTGGTATTTCTAGCTATTAATAATTTGGGTTAAAATTGACAATGTCTTTGTCCTTACTCAAAACATATTGATTATTCTCCTTGATGTTGGCATGCCAAAAAGATCAGCCTGCCATTCTACATGCAGTAATCTGGTGTTCAGTCAGGACTACGGGTGCTAAATTTGTGTGGCAGAAATTGCCACTAAAGACACAGGTACCTTTCCAAGCACTGTTCCCCACCATGCAAGTATTGCTAAAGTAGTTTATATCTGGATGTCTAAAATTATCAATTGGTTGTGTGGCTTTTCTCACTCTTTCTTATGCAGTTAAATCAACAGTGGCACCACTTGATGAAAAATAGCATTAACTTTGGATACAATTTGCTCAACTATGTGTATCCGGAGCCAGTTCCTTAGTTATTTAATAATGCATTTTGTCACATAATGTTGCTCTGCCAGCCAGACTTCTGGTAAAAAATAGATCTTTTTTATAAAAAAAGCAACAGATAATGTTGTATAAAATAGTAAATAAGATGTAGTATGTAAAGGTTTTTTTAATAGAAATGTGTACGTATTTTTTAGTATGTATGCATTTTGTATTTCTCTGAAGATGATGTCTGTAGTAGAGGCTTATGGTGGATTTTGTCTTTTGCTTTTCTATAGCAGTGCACTGATGTTCATATGGTTAGTGACAGTGATGGAGATGACTTTGAAGATGCTACAGAGTTTGGAGTTGATGATGGAGAAATGTTTGGAGTAGCATTACCTGCCTTGAGGAAATCACCAATGAGTAAGAGTTAACAGTTAAATGGCTGTTGTAGAGGACTAGTGAAAGTAGAGATGTATGAAGGGTCTGCACAGTAAGAAGAGGAAAGTATCTTTTGATAGCAACATTAGAATTGTTTGAGTCTCACGTTTGATGGATGTATAACATGAAACTACTGCAGACATAATTGGCAACTGTGGAAGCCATTATTGGCAACTATTTCCCTGTGGAAGAAGTTTTTTAACCTTATGATTTTAGCTTATAGGTGCAGAATAATTTAGCTCAGAGAAATTATGATCTCTAAACCAAATGTTCCTGTAGCCAACTAAATTCCTATACTTGTTTTGAGAAATCTAGATTTTTAGCTTCAGCCTCTTGTGGTCATTAATATTTTGTTACATTTATATTAAACAAGTTTCACAGGGATTATTTGTCTGTGAATTATTGAAAGGATTGAGCAAGAACAATCAGTTACCTCCTATATGCAATTCCATATAATTCTCTTTATTTACTTTAGGCTTGCATTAGTGCTATTACCTTAGAAGTTGTTGGTTTTTAACAGCAAATATATGTAATAATAATGAAAACTTCTTAACAGGAAGGTTATAATTAGAAAAAACTTAACTAGCAATATAGTGGGTTGAGCCTTTCAAGCTAGTCCTTTCATTTTAATGTATTTTAGTAAGTCCAGAGTGTTCTTCAATGATGGAGTGATATATCACATTACACTGGACCTGAGGATTTTACTGTTTGGAAAGCCTTAATACAGTCATGACAGCATCTGGAAATTTCACATCTTTTAATGGTTCACAGTCCATTGTTTTCAGGAAATGTATATGGTTTATTGGTAGGCACTTCAGGAAGGTGTCAACATTAAAAAAACTATTAAGCAAATGAGTTTGTTTATTAAAATCTGTTTCCATAAGGTTTTGTTTAATTTATATTTTCAATGTTTTTTTTAAGTGCCAGAAAATGCTGAAAATGAAGGAGATGCCTTATTACAATTTACAGCAGAGTTTTCTTCAAGGTAAGCTCAGCCTATGAACTATGCAATTTTTGCTACAAGCTAAGTAAAATTTAGTAATTAATGAAAATAAACCAAATGTATATATTTTCTTGTGGGTTCATAGTGTATTTAGGTATCCAAATCTAATTTATTTTAATCTTAACTTTGTTAGAACTGTTTATGAAATAAAATGATTTCTCAGTCCAAGTTATAGTGACAGATTCTTGCCTTATTTAATTTACCACTAATTAATAACATTGCTTAATTATGTAAGGGTCCAGAAGGATGTTCAAGGCTTTTATTATGTGTAGTAATTTTAATAGGATATGCAGGAAGAAAAGCTGAAACTGATTAATATTGAAAAAAATATATACAGAGTTTCAAGAGGAGTTTTCAGAGTAATGGAATGGTTGGATAAATCTCTATAATATAGAAATGCTGCTGCTTTAACTTCATACCACAGATCATGCATTGTTAAACAGTTGCCATGTTTCATCAAATAGGTAGAAGCAGCAAACTAATAATGCTGCAAAGTAATGCAAAGTTTATATTCCTTCTGCTTTCACTGCTCTGTGATGAAATGTTCATTTATATATATGAGATGCATTAATGTGTAATACAAGAACAGGCTTCAATTAACCTTTAAGGATATGATAAAGAGAGGAAATAAGAGTATAGTAAAGAGCAGAAATGACTTATGATTGGGAAATGATAGAGAACTTAAGGTGTATGCAAATAGAAAGTTTTGATGGTAAAATTTGTAAGGTGGCAGTTAGTTACTTTGAGCTTTGGAATGTTGAGGGAGAGAGGGCTTCTAAAGGACAGAAATGCTTAAAACTGTAGTTCTTCATCTTTTTGAAGGTTTAGCCAGTGCATTTTATTTACAGAGTATATGAGGAAGGTAGAACATTGAAATGACTGGTTTTTGTGACTTTTTTTAATTGTCATTTTTATCTCCAATAGATATGGTGACTGCCATCCTGTGTATTTTATTGGCTCATTAGAGGCTGCTTTTCAAGAAGCCTTCTATGGGAAAGCTAGAGATGTAAGTGTGTGTTGAAAATGCTTCATTTAATAGAGAGGGGAAATGGAAATCACTGTAAATGTTTCATCTCTATTCTAAAGAAGGCAAATTACATTTTGGAGTTTTATTGTTTGTGAAGAGTTATGCTCATTTAGTTGATTGACTAAAATACTTACCTTGGTTGTTGAAATTACAGTGAATAACTCATGCTTTCTAATCATTCAGGCTGTTTTTTTATTGAAGTCCTTTAGTCATCAGAGCTACTCTTTGCCTTCCCCCTCCTTCTTTTCTTCCTGGAATAATAGTGTCTTAGCACCACATAACACTGGCCTGTGAGTCTTGGGGTTGACAAGTTCAGTGGTGCATGTTGGTAACTCCTTTGAAGGATGGCTAATGAAATTGTAAATTTAAATTGAAAGGTCTCTGAAATACTGTGTGTTTTGTTTTGTTGGTTTTTGTTTTCCTTTGCGCAGCCTTTATCTGCCAAGTACATTCCAGTTCTAAGGTTTGGTTATTTAGTTTTTCTGTACATCCAACCAGACATCTCAAGTTTCTGTTATTCCATGCACAGTTTTAAATTCAGCATTTTAATAAAATTAGAATGGGGATCGTTTATTTAAGTTTTGGTGACTTGAATTCACAAAGGAGAAACCCAAACCCCTGCATAATTAACCATAGATAAAGCTGAAACCCAAACAAGAAAATCATGCTGTTTAAATTTACTTTTTTATTTGTCTTGATAGATAGTTCATTTTAAAATTAAGAATGTTTTGGCTTCCTATAGTTATTCATATTGGAAGAAACAACTATGTTATATTAGGGGCTGTTATGAATCTACTCTATATAGCTGAAGTTAACATATATTTAACATCTTGTGTGCAGAGATAGTTTTCCCTCAATCCAAGTTTAGTGAATATTGTCATGTCTCTGTCCAGATTTTAGAATATAAATGGATACAGAATAATTCAGTGACAAAGTACTAATTCATGATGATTCATTCAAGTGGAGCTTGATGCCTATTTTAAATCAAATTATTAATTCAACAAGAAAACTCTGAGTTAGGTAGCTCACTTTGTGCCATTTCATTGGAAATGGTTGGCAGTTTATCAGGACAGCAATGGATGAGAACTCATTAGAAGCTTTCATAATTTTTTTTATAACTGTAAATCTAATATTAATGTGGTGCAGTCGATTAGTTTTTTTAATACTGTAAGTACTTTGTTTACTGCTTACACACCACATCTGAAATTAATGTCACTTTACACTTCTAGTATTTTGAGATCTAGTAAGCGCAGATGTTCATCAGTATAAAGTTATATACTTAGAAAATTCTTGGGTTTGTGGGGTTTTTTTGTTAATTTTCTATTTCTCTTAATATTGTCTTAATTTTTGAATGCACTTCTCCCCAACTACTCTGTGGAGTGACTCTAATTTTATTGTAACATTCTGATTTAAAACATGAGAATGTATTTATGCCATTTTTTTTTCCTGCTTTTTTTCCTGTTACAAACAAAGTTTTTTCAGTACTGCCTCCTGGAATTCGTAACTAAGGAAAAGGATACATTATTTTATAGTTTTATAGTTGCATTTCATACAATAATTCAATATCAGTATAAAGAAAAAAGCTTAGGAGAAATTGCAACCTGTATGTCTTGTCTTCTAATTTACACTGTGGAGGGCACTTAATTTTACCAGGGCAACAGATGAGCTTCAGGCACCAGCATTCTTCACTTGAAGTGAGAAATTGAGTTCCAAGAGTAAATAAAAACAAGATTGAAGGTTTAAATCCTCTGCTGGGCTTTTTGAACTTATATACTCATTAAATGTTTATTGGAGTGGTGGGATTACGAAGGATTTGGGTAGCTTCATCAACTGGTATATACTTAATCACTAAGTAAAACACTACATTTGATAGAGTGTTTCTCACGATGCCACACTCAATCCATCTTAATGAAAACTGCTTCAAACTGATTTAATTTGAGAGCACTTGGCAGCTTGAGTGCTCAGAGATCTTAGCCTTTTCTTGACAAATTCTCAACACTGTGCAGAGCAGAAGGTGCACTCTACAGTTCTGGCCTGGTGAGACAGCCATCAGCTATGTTTTTAATCTATATTGTGGATAATTTTTCCCTCCAGAAAATCCCAGTATATATCAACTTGAAACCTTTTTGCAGAAATATTTTAGCTTGGGTTATTTTCAGGAAATTAACTTATGCCATCAGGTGTTAAATGCAAAGTGTGGGTTTAAAATTCTTTTTAAGAAAATAGATACTGTTCTGTTTAATCTTAGTGTCTTACATTTCCTAGTGTTGGAAAGGATGGTAGTTCATAGTTGCTTAAGGAAAACGTTAATTGAGAAAGAAATGCCTTGTAAAAACATTGAGCTGTTTGTCTTTTACCTGTGTTTGGTTTAGATTTTATTATTGTAGTTTTTCAGTTGGAGTCTTCAGACTGTGAAGATTAACATGCATGATGGGTGTCTTTTTTTCTTTAGAGCAACTGCTACTATGGTAGTGCCAGTTCTAGGTAGGACAGATAGAAAGAAGTCAAATGTAGCTCTGCTTTAAAACCTGTGTATCTCTTGAGCACAAAAATACAATAGCTGAGATGCAGAGCTGTCCCTTCAGCAACCAGTGTTCTTGGTAGTGAAATCCCCAGGTCCCTCCAGCAGACTGATAGTTCAGGGCATTATGTGTTCTTTTCCAAGGTTTACTGTATATACAACACAAGAAAATATTTTAATTATTTTTTAAGTGGGTCAGGAAGAGAAAGAGAGACAGAGGTTTATTAAATTAACAAGTAACTTTTCCTTTTATGAAAGTCTTCCTCTGCTTACCATGCCAATTGGAAAGAAGCTTTTTTCTGTGGTATATAATCCATGAAGAACAACCTTACTCCTGCTCAAGTAGCTGCACTATCATAGAAATACCTAAACTAGATGCCATGGAAGAAATCACACAATAGACAGTTTTAAACAGGATGTCTGGGGGAGGTTTCTTTGTGACCGAAAACCGTTTGTGGGTGCCCTGTGTTCTGAGACATCAGGGAGTTTATCCTGACTTGGAGTAGTATTAATACAAGATCTTAATCCCTATATTAATCCCACAGAGGTATTCATTTGAATACTAAACTATTTTATTTTGAGTTTGTTTGCCTTTTCATTTTTGTAGGTGGTTGCTACTCTTATTATGAGAGAGAATAAAGACATCTGCTTTACCTTTTCAGGATCTCTTTTATGCCTCTGTCAGATCACCTCCTGCTGCTCTCCCAACCTTTCTGTCCACTGACTTTTAATAAATATGTGAAACATCTCTCTTAGCACAGATTGGTATTGTCACCTCAATATATATTCCTGCATACTGAAGAGGAGCCATGTTTTTCTTCTCCCTGTATTGTGTCTTTTAGGTTCAGTTTAGTGGCAGCTCCATCCCACTCACATAGGAGTACTTTCTTGTCTGAATACCTAGAAGAAAGTGTGCTCCTTTTCATGATTTGGCATCTTCAGATAAAAGCTTTTTTTATTCCTGGTGATGGGAGAATATTCCTTCACATAGGACTTTCTGCAGTATCATTTTTACCTGTGTAACTCAGAAGACTGTCCCTTGTTATTATTTCAGCTAACGAAGTTCATGCTGAACTTAATGCAAAAAAAGATTCACAGGGATAATAATTCTGATTTCTGTTAGATCACATTGTAGAAAAAGCATTGGCTGCTCTCCAGTCTCCCTGTCTCAAAGAGAAATTTGAAGATTGTCTTTTAGATGCTACCTCATGTAGAAAAAGGCTCTGAATGCCAAGTGCAGGACACCTTTGGTTTAGTCTTTGTCATCTTTTTCCCCCCATTTATTCCATAAATATTACACAGTGATGTAGAGGAGTACAGCTTCACCATCACCTTTGATTCCAGGGACATTTCAAATCAAGTTGCTACTCCTACATTTTAGAAGGGGCTTGACCATACTGTGTATCCTGTGTGTGCTTTGAAAATGCATTTGAATTCAGTTGTCTGAGGGTCCTAAGATGGAGAAATTACTACTTTACAGATTCCAATTAAACATAAATAACCTGAGCACAGATCTACATGGTCTGGTTGAAACTGTAGAGGACAGGTATAGAAATAAAACTCCAAGTTCCCAGGAAGAGTAAAGAAGCTGCACTGTGGTGGATGTCAATATGTAAATTCTAGTTTAAGTCCTGTGTAGTCACCCACATTTTTCTTTCCAGCCTTGGCTGATGTGTATGGTAGCAGTTCTGTCTTTTTGTTCTCAAATTATTTCCGAACTTGTGGGTAATTATTATTTAGAGATTTATTCTCACTGTGTACCTACACACTCTTTATTCTTCATATCTGAATGCCTTCATCTTTCATATCTGAAATGTTAGTCTTGGGTATGGGTCTCTCTTTAGCATCTTCTGTATTTGGTGTTAAATAATGGAAGTTTGTTTAAATTGTCTGCCACACTCTACGTTTCCTCCTCTTTCAAAGCCTGTGATTTATAGATCTTATTTGAGTTCTCTTTCAATTACTGGATATTCTTTGGATTATGGTAAGATATCAGTGCAAGTTCAATTGATTGAAATTGAGCTACAACAGTATAATAGGATCAAATGGAAGATGAAAGTAGACTAAATCAAGCATAAAATAAACCACACCTTTACCTGGGAGAGTGTTGGGTTCTTCATCACTGATGTTTTCTTGAGTCTAGATGTTTTACTGAAAGATAAAATTACTGAAAGATTTAATTAGAAATTAGCTCAGGGATGTCTTATGCCACGTATAATACAAAAGACCAAATCAGAAGATAATGGGGATCATCTCACTCTGACTTGAGGAACCTGTGGGATACAGTTTAGTTCAGGTCCTCTTCTGCAAGGCTGGCGACTGGTCAGTGTCCCTGGTCTCTTTGTCTTTGGTGCCTGTCAGTCTCTTTGCTTTTGACAGGTGCAGGGGAATTTAATAATGCTTATCTTCAGCATAATACACAGACAAGGCTTCCTATGATTCTCTCTCTGCCCTATTTCTGCTTTGAGCCTTTTTCAAAGTGGAGTAAATTTGAAGATGCATACCTTGGTGATAGAGGAGGCTGCATTCTGCTTAGGGAGGAAAGGATTGTGTGTGATTAGAGTAGCTGTGTCCAAAAAGGCTGATCAGATGATCTCCAAGATCACCACAGACAGGTGGATCAGACTGTACACTTCAAAGGCTTCAAGATGTTCAAATGTGTCCCTTTGTTCATTTGAATTAGCTCTCACTACATAAAACCTAGAGGAAAAATTAAGATCTTGATTTGTTAGCTTAGCGACTTGAAAGAACATTAATGCCTCTAACAGCTGTTACATCATGAATGTTTTTGTCTCAGTCATTGTTTGAACTTGTAAACCTGAGACTTAAAAATAACCTTTCAGATCTGTGGTTTTGCTGACCCTTATGACTGTGTTGCTGTTCTCATTCAAGTTCATATTCTTCGGAGGGACCAAAGTTATTCACATTATTGGGAACTGGCTGAGAAGCTTGGACATGACCTTACCCAGTGATTAGCAATTTATTTTCCCAGCCTTGCAAGGATCTGTGTTGCTTTCTGCCTCAGTGACAACTTTTGCTACAATTCTTCTAATTCTGTACAAAGTGCATTAACTTTTATGAAGTTCCAAAATGCAAAACTGACTGAGTGGATGGCATAGCCATTTGAATTTTCAAAGGCTTGAAATTAAACCAACAAAACCCCTCATAAATATGTACTACCATGAGTTAGTAAAAAACAAAACAAATCAAACCAAACCACAGACAGCAACAATACGTGTTTTTCCAAGGAAAAAGTATCACTATCTTCCACTAAGATTTTTCAAAATCATACTTCAGCATTTCAGTTCTTTGTGCTACCTCTTTTAAGTTGTCCTACCAGTATGCTTATGCCTGACCTGAACATTTTTTATGAATTATCAGACATAAGTGCAGACTTTTATATGTGATGGAGTTTAGTCTTTGCCTGGTGAGATTTGTTGATGCAACAAAATTTACATTCACTTGTAAAATAGCTCAGTGTAAACATCTATTGTGTATGTTCGTGTGTTGTTTACTAAAATTTGTCCCTAAATCTTTCAGCCTAAAACTCTACATATTTTGAAACATTCCGTTGTATGGAATCTTATATTTAACAGTTTCATGGGGTTGTTTCTTTGGAAGTAAAAGTGTTTCTCAAGAGCCTTTTTTCTATCTGCTCCCAGTGAAAAGAGGAGAGCAAAGCCATCCGCTTACCACAAAGCAGTGCCACCACAAAGGAAAGATTAAGGGTTTAGAGAGAGGTCAATGTGGGTTTTTCTCTAACTAAACACTTTCCTAAAGTTTCCTTGTGGAAAAAATAATGAAGTCATCTCAGAGTTTTTAAAGAATTTTTATTTCTTTTTCACCGTCTGCATTCGCTTGTCTTCTCAGCATGGATGTTTAATCTTTTCTAGGCTTTGTGAATTGGTCCAAATGAATAAGTGGTGCGCTGTCTCTCTAGGAGCTAGAGGCTTATTCTAAGGCCCTAATCACTGAGTAAACACATCTTTGCCCTCCCTCTCTTACAACTGCTGTATAATAGTCCAGATTCTAGCACAGTAACCTGGATATTGCAGGGATCGACGCTTTGAAATGCAGAATGGCTGATCCTCAAAAACAGACAGTGCCCCATCTTCCCCTACCTCTTTCTTCTTTTTAAATTAAATATCACCACAGAAATGCTGTTTTATTGCTTGATATTGTCCCATCGGTGCCCTGGATTTTCAAGTTTAGTTTCAGTCAATGTTGTTGGCTGCACTTAGATGGATCTCTGCATGTTGGTTGGGCTTATTGATGGCCTTTCCTGGCACATGTGTACGTGGTTCTGAAGAGCATTTAAATTAAATTAGACAAACATGAATGCAAATTACTAATCCCTTTCCCAAAGTCTAATGTTCAAATGTATTCTTTTTATTAATAGTCATTAAGTTTTACCCAAAGCCAGTAGATGAGGTGATAGCCATCCAGGTTTTTTAAAAATACAGCTTGTGTTAAAATTGCATCCCTTGTCTTGCTGCATCAATACACATCAGTAATCAGTATGTAGGCTTCAGTGTTAGTTCTGATGGAGAGAGCTGAAATTACTTTAGATGAAAGTCTGAAAATAGCATTTACCGAATTGTTTCAGCAAATATGTTCAAGTAGGATTTTTAAATGAAGTAAGTAATATATACAGGCACAGGGGAATGGAAAGTTGTAATTTTCTGAAGGCTATTTATAACTCCCTGAATAGAAGATGTAGGATCATTGTCCTTAGGTAGCTCATAGTTTCCCTGTATTTTTCTCAGTCTGCTTCTTACGTGCACATAGAAGGTCTGAGATGATCATGGGGACAGAGCACAGCTGTGTGCTGCTGACAGCACAGCTCAGATATTATCTGATAGGGTTTCAGAAGAGCACAGCACAGATTATTTTGTTTCAAGAGGCTGCAGTCACCATCTTCAACATCGAGTCTTAACTAACGTGGTAAATATGATGAGATGTATCAGTGCTCACAAACTCAATGTGGGATTTGATCCATGTCTTTCATGTCCTTTTGCCTCTTACACATTCCCAGTGCCAGGGCAGCCACCTTGCTCCACAGCTTGGCAAGAGACAGATCCAGCTGGGCCAGCACCTGGCCTTCTGACCAGCTGCACGGAGACTTAACAAGTAGGGGCTGATGTGCTGTGGGGCCTCCCCATGTCATACAGCTGGATGCGGAGCTGCCAAAATATCCAGCATGGAACATCACAGCCTTTGGGACTATAGGCAGCTGTCTCATTACTTACTCGTTTTCTTCTTTTATTTGGCTACAGATGGAGTAATAACAATAAACTGTCATTTTTTAAGGTTGTCTATAATTTTATTTGTTCAGGATCGTAGTGTTGTATCAAGAGGTGGGTTCCTTGCTCAGGGAATTGTCCCAAATCTTTATTGGGCAGCAAGCCAAAAAAAGTTCACTCATTTTTAAAGCTAACTAAGGTTTTGGAGTGTGCATGGAAGTGTTGCTATATTCATGTTCTAAGGGTATAAGGTATCATGTTTAGGTACCCAAAATAAAATGGTTAAGAAGCATTAAGAAGACCTACAGATTTGGGTGGACTGTTTGACTTGACATTTATTGGGGTTTTTTTCTCCTGTGTGTGCAGGTTGAGATACTCAGCACCCTCGATAAACAACACTGGGTCCATAATACAGAAGCCTGCAGCTGTAATTTTAAATTACTGGACAGTCACAGTAAGTTTTCACTGATCTTTTCTTGTGTCTTTTCAGAGAAAGCTTCTTGCTATCTACCTCCACCATGATGAAAGTGTACTAACCAACGTCTTCTGCTCACAAATGCTCTGTGCTGAATCTATTGTCTCCTATCTGAGTCAGAACTTCATCACCTGGGCATGGGACATGACGAAAGAAGCCAACAGAGCAAGGTAAGTCCTGCAAAGACAGAGCTTTGGACTGTGAATGGAACAGCTTTTCTCTCAAGGAAGGTCCTTATCTCTGTGTCATCTCTGTGTATCAAGTCTCTTGCATTCATGCTCACTCTTAGCTGATCAATGAAGCTGGATGAGATTCACTGGGAATTGTACTCTCCTTGTTTAGAACTATCTGGGATAATAACTACTGTTGTTAATGAAAATGCTATTTAAAAAAATAACATTCATGTGATAAATTAACATTAAGAGCAGATTATGCAAAAACTTATTAGAAGCTTGCAATTCATATTAACATTTTTGAAATACAGTTTTCTTACAGAACGTTCCTTTGGTGATGTTCAGATATTTTTATAGGTTTTAATATAATAAAAACAATCCTGTGTCTTAGGGCATAATTTTGCTGATGAGAAAAGAAATTTTTAAACTGTAGATTCCACCTCCTTCTACATCTTTTGTGTTTTACCAACACATTTTTCGTCTTTATATTAAAAAGCTCTCTCTTCTTATTTTTTTATCAGTTTATCATACTCTGTGGAAAATAGTGATTTTAATATTAGACTTATTATATTTAGAAATCAGACTTTGGTTTTCTAACTTGGACCTGCTTTCATCACCTTTATTGACACAGAAGACCACTGCTTGCCAGGCTAGTGTCTTGTGTATATTATTACAATGACAGTTACTCCAACTTTTGAACAAAAGTTGCAACAGTCATTTGAGCTGGGATAAGGCTGCCCCTTCTTTATACAATTCCGTTGAACAGTTCCATCATTGAATGATTAAAACTACACATTTATGTTTCTTTCTCCTGTGGTTTGCTAGAATAAAGCATTCGTGCATCCCTATTCTTAAATATGTAAATGATAGTTAACATTTCTCTACTGAAAGGGGGCTTGGAGAACAGAACAATCTCTTTTTCCAATACACTTTTGAAATAACACTTGTGTTTCTCAGGAATTCCTCACTCAACTTGCTGCATTTTGTCATTGGATGAATCAGCAGCTATGTTCCTTGTTTAAGTTATCCTAGAAAGTGAAAATTTATGGAACAAGCAGCCAAAAAAATGGATAAAACGTTTTTTAAAAAAAAAGAGAAGGGAGAGAGAGAGGAAAAAGAAACATCTAGGTTCTTTCATGGGACCAAATACATAGAGTGGAAAGTTGCTTAAGTCTTTTGGTATTGCCATTCATGGTCAGTAAGGAGCCTCCTCCTTTTCTTTTATCCCCCAAGTTGGTGTAGAAGGAAACACTATTTCTAAACCATCTGTAGTGGCTAAGTTCAGCTGACTACCTGCTGTTCCATTGTTCACTTTTCTATTTAATTCTCTGCTTTCTTTTATTTTACAATGACAAAAAATTGCAGTGTAGTTTCTTTTGAAAAACTGTGTTTGAGGGGGTTTTTTATGACTGACGATCAACAGCCATGTAATTGCTTTGTTGTGTTTTACTAAAGAAATCTATTAAGTAGCACAACTTTGATACACTAGTAATCAGAGTTTGCAGGTTACTGAGACACCTGTGGTGACCAAAGCCACAGAAGCTGCTTGTTGGAAAGAGCCTGTACAGCTGTGTCCTATTAACTCCTTATGACACTGCTTAAAACACAAAATAAAGGGCTTGTTTAAGGCTTTATAGCCGTTCTCAATGAACCCAGTCACTGATTGTGCAGAGGAAGAGGGTTTTTAAGCCTACAAGTTTTTTGCTTTCTATTAACAACACCAAAGAAACTGTCATATTAACAGTGAGGTCAAAAAATAGTAAGGGGTAAACAAGGCATGCAGGCTTGAATGAGAAGAATTTCTCAGTTGTGTTTAGTGTCACATCCTGCTCCTTAGACTGATTTCTTCAGAGGAGGCATGATGCTTCCTTCTCCCTTTGGAAAGTGCCAATGCACTGTGGGCATTCCCATAAATAAACACTCAGTACCTCTGTTTGGTTGCTGCCCTTCATTATGTGACACAACGACAGTGTTCTTGGAGCCTATTCTGTTCTGTATCCCTGTGGACACAGTTGCATTTAGCTTTTTGTTTGAATGGTGAGAAGAGGGTGGCAGCAATGGAAGGAACTGCTCTTTGTGTGCTGATGTAGCCCAAAAGCAACTTATTTGGGCTGTTACAATTGCATTAGTGGAAAAGCCAGGGTGGGAAGGCAGAGGAATCAGGCTCACTTTATTTGCAGCAGTAAATCAATAGGGACACCTCAATGTCAGTAATAAAAGACAGGTTTTTCATACTGTAGCATGGCATGAATAAATTCAAACTGGTATATATACTTTCCTCCTATAAGCCAAAACATCTTGAATATTTCTGACATTTTTTTCTTGTTCTTTATTGATCTCTTTCTGACATCTGTGGATGTAATTCTGTTCCTAAACCAGTCTTAACTATAACAGTAGTTTCCATTTTTCTAATTAATGGAATGGAGGTCTAGTCTGAACACTGTAGAACAAAACAAGCTCCAAAATCTTATCCTCTTTCCTGATTTTTAATATGATGCTTAGCTGACACTGATGTAGGGATATGCTTTGAATCCTGCCTTTCTGTACACTGGCACTTTTCAACTGGAATCTCTCATCACTCATTGCAACAGAGTGAAAAGAGTTCTGTAGGTAGCACTAGAAGTAAAATATTGTGTGCAAGTGCCAGGGTAAGTGTTAGCAGTAGTTCAGGTGCATAAACATTACTATTTTGGGAGTAGTATTTTTTAATATTCCTAACTACAGCCACTCAGGACTGTTACTTTGTCCAACTGAAGGATAACTCTGGTTAGCACAGTTAAGAGGACATGTGTCAGTTGCCTCTCACAGAAGGTTTGTAGGAAAAGGGCAGTAACTTTGGGTAAGTGCTGCAAATCATGAATCTTTTCATTACTAGAATAAAAACAAAATAAGAAAAGACACAAAATTATAAGATAAAATAATCAGGCTTCATTTTTTAGAATAATGTGGAGTTTTTATCATATTCTCAAGGGATCTATGTGAAAACTCTGTCACCTGTAGTTCAGACTTCAGTGAGCACCTGTTTCGCACATTCTTGTAATTTATGTTGTCCATGGTCAGAGGAGGAAAAATCCCCACAAAGGTACAGGTATATTTGTTACTTTCTTGTTATATTCCACTCATTTTGGGGTGAATCATGATCTTAAACCCCACTGTTTTCCGTTGCTTGCTATGGAGATTTGCTAGAACATGCTTCTGGGAGGTGCCAGGGCAGTAGCAATAGTGTTTGTTTGACAGCAGCAGTGTTGACAGTTTGGACCCTGCTTCTTGGTCCAAGCACATGGCTGCAGGAGTGCTGGGCCATCCCATGGGCTAAGCTATTCCTCAAGTTTCCAGACAGGTTGTGGGATAGATGAGCTGGAGAGCCAGATGTGACCAGCTGTAGTTCTGGCACTTTATCTGGCTCCGTCTTCAAAGAGTTGACTAAATACCATTATTCTAATATAATTAGGTGTGTGTGGGGGGGAGGTGTGTGTATATGTATGTATGCAAGCACATGCCTAACTATGTTTGATAATTGATTAATAGACATTAATCTAATGTATTTATATCCAGGACAGATATATAGTGAAAATATATACATACATACACACCTACACATGCACACAGACCCTTATGTTTGTACACACAGCATTTACAAATATAGATTATGCATAATATTAATAGAATTCCAATACACATAATGTTTGCCAAGCAAAGCAATGCCAAACCATAAAACAAGGACTCAAATGTCTGTAGCAGCTCTTTAGCTTTTGATATCGTTGCCCTTGGGTGCTGTTTCTCAGCTCTGATGACAAGTACTTGTCAGTTTTAATGTTCAAATGATAGTTTTTTCACTTTGCTTAAGCTTAGGGAAGAGTTAATTGACTAAAGTGCTTCTTAGCAGCAGGTTGTCTTCACCTGCAATTTCTGTCATCAAGTAATTAGCCATATTCACAGTTGCTGACCCTTAATACTAACCTACTGAATGACACATGCCTGGATAAAGACCAGTTGACCATATTACTCCATCTCTCCAATCCTATTTGATCCTTCAGCAAATATATTGCAGGTGTGGGGTCTGTGAGGGCTGGACACAGTGAGTTAATTTCTCACTGCCTCTTCAGGAGGGACTGTAGATTCTGTATATGTTGCTTGCAAAACTGTTGGATGTATTCTTTGGGTGCTAAATCCTTAACAGGTTTCACAGAACAGTGTGAAAACCTTATCTATTGTATTTTGCAATATTTTATTTAATTTCCTTCAATAGCAATATGGTGCCAGTCAATAAAAACAGGTCAAAAGTCTAATTAATGTTTTAAAAATAAAGGTTCTCAAACACTAGGCGAGTTTGTCATTTTCTGTATGGTTTGGTTTGAGGAGGAAGAGGAAAGAAGGTGAGGAGGGAACCCTTCTGTTCCATGATTACATCCCACCCGCTCATTTTCTCCTTTTCTCCTTTGCTTTTGATTTTAGTGGCAGTCTTAACAGAATGTCAAGATCAATTTGCAGCATGGTTTAACTCAAGGTTTGCATTCTGCCAGCAGCAATTGTCCTAACGAACAATGCCGTGTGTTCTTGTAACTTCAGAAGCTTTTAGAAGGCTCATGGCAAGGGCAGCATCTAATGACTTTATTAGTGTAGGGTTTCAAAATGGGCTCAGTAATTGTTCACATCTCTTTGTCATCTAGTCATAATTACTGCATAGTATTGTTCAGGGTTGCACTTGTGAATAGTTTCCTAATAGCACAGAAATGAAGAAAAAAGGAAAAGGATAAAAGGTGATTGTCTCTTTAGATGGAGAACAAAACAGCCTGTATATAGATGATGGTTAAACTGTTTATTATACACCCACCAGAAAAGGTAAACTATCCCTGCTTAAATATTTATATGCCTCAAGGTAATTTCGTGTTAGTAGTCTAAAAATGTCCAAATTTGGAAAACTAAAAACCAGCAGAGAATGCATTTTAATGGGATCACGATTAGTAAGATATGGATGTGTCTCTAATACTCATCCA